TAACATATTTTATTCTCATTAGTCTGCAAGATGATCCCATGGATCATGTTCGTGGAGCACTCACTTGAAGCCACATACTTCACTGCCAATCTCTTAACCAAACTATTAGAAGAAGCTAAGGTACAAATGAAATATATTCATAATTATCATTTTTATAAGTAAGAAGCTAATCATTTGTATGATTAAGTAGCTAATCATTTGTATGATTAAGTATCTAAGAAGCCACAATAGGTATTATAACTCATTCAAAGGACATGCTAAAAAGAATAGTCTATAAGTGCCAAGTCATAATAAAAGAAGCTATAGATTATCAACATTCTGAAAAAACATAGGTGTGTGTCAAGGAAGGAAGAAAGATAAAGTGGAGGAGGCTAGATAAAGAGGAGGAGGCTGGGAAGGAAGAAAAAGAAAGAGTAAGTGGGGGTGGGTGTCTATTTCTGTCCCACATCGACTTTACATATCAACACAATTGTTTTTTCCTTTATAAATAGCTTTACTTTACCAATGCTTTCTGCTCATAAGTTTGGCAGGGTCAGCAAGCATTTGTATATGGGCCTTCCATTTGAAGTTCTTGCTGGATTGCCGAATGCCTCATTTGGATTTTAGCATAAATTTTAGTTGAGATTTTTGGTAAATGCCTTCATTGGCATTTATAATCTCTAAATATTATATTGATATGAAGATTTATTATTGTTTTCATATTGGAATTGTGTCTTAATAATGTAACATATATATTTTTATTAAAAATAATGATATATATATATATATATATTAATAGAGACAAGGGCCATATAGGCCCGTCTTGAAAGCCCGAAATAGTTTGGCCCATGGGCAGGGCCTGGGCTTTGCAAATTTCATAGAGGGCTGGCCCAGCCCGGCCCGGCCCGATAGTTGTCTAGGGCCAAAAAAGCCCATGAAAGATAGGGTCTGGGCTCACACTTCTTAGGGCTGGCCTGGCCCGGCTCGACCCATTTTACAGGCCTAGTTGATTATGATGAAATCTTCTCTCTGGTGGTGAAACATACTTCTATACGACTACTACTCTCCATAGTAGTGCAAGAGGACATGGAGGTGAAGCAAATGGATGTGAAGACTGCTTTCCTCCATGGGGAATTGGAGGAAGACATCTACATGAGCCAACCTCAAGGGTTCATTGAAGCAGGGAAGGAAAATTTGGTTTGCAGGTTGAAGAAGTCTTTATATGGGCTGGAGCAATCTCCAAGACAGTGGAACAAGTGCTTCGATTCTTACATGATGAAGATTGGGAAGATGTGAGAATTTGATTGCTGTGTATACACTCATGCATTCAAGGATGGTAATATCATCCTTCTGCTTCTTTATGTTGATGACATGCTAATTGCATGTAAAGACATGTCAAAAATCCAGAATTTGGAGACATTGCTTGGAAGGGAGTTTGACATGAAGGATCTTGGTGCTGCACAAAAGATCCTAGGAATGGAGATAAGGAGAGACAGAAATGTAGGCAAGCTATGGCTGTCACAAAGTAAGTACATTTCCAAGATACTTGAAAAGTTCAATATGATGGATAGCAAGCCGGTGTCTACTCCTTTGGCGGAGCATTTTAAGTTAAGTGCGAAGGAATGTCCTTCTACGGATATGGAGAAGAAGGAAATGAGTAAAGTTCCATATACAAGCTTGGTAGGGTGTCTCATGTATGCAATGGTCTGCACACGCCCCGACTTAGCCCAAGCCGTAAGTATGGTGTCAAGGTATATGGCGAATCCTGGAAGACAACATTGGACAGCAGCAAAATGGATTCTTAGGTACTTGAAGAGCACAAAAAGGCTTGAGATATTGTTTGAAAGACAACAAGGAAAGGCATGTGTGTCGGGGTATGTAGATTTTGATTATGCAGGAGATCTAGACAAGAGGAGATCCACCACAGGATATGTCTTCACTTGTGGTGGAGGACCGATTAGTTGGAGAGCAGTGTTACAATCGGTTAGTGCCTTGTCTACTACAGAAGTGGAGTATATGGCTCTAACGGAAGCTTCAAAAGAAGCAGTATGGCTGAAAAGATTGGCAAAGGAATTCGGGATAGCTCAAGACTTGGTGGTGATTCAAAGTGACAGTCAAAGTGCTATATGCTTAGTGAAGAATCAAGTGTTCCATGGAAGGTCCAAACACATTGATGTGAGATACCACCGGAAAAGGGATTGGGTGAATGACGGAGACATCACAACAAGGAAGGTTCATACGAAGGAGAACGCTTCAGATTGTCTTACAAAGCCAGCCACAGCAGCAAAGTTTAAGCATTGTTTGAGCTTGCTCAATCTTGTTCCATGCTAAAGATTGAGGTGGAGTTCTTGGGAGTTAACAGGACGATTCTCAAGACATTACAGATGTCCTGGAAGGCAATGATTTTCACAAAGGGTCTTAAGCTTGCCAAGGTGGAGATTGTTGGAAAAAATGGCTCACCTAAGGATACAAGGTCATTTTGGCGCTAGGAGGATAAGTTTGAATCTGCCGTAAAGCGACCGGTCGCTAGAAATTGGCGACCGGTCGTTTTCAGGCCGATTTGAAGTCTGAACAAAAAACTTCTAGCGACCGGTCACTAGCTTCACGCGACCGGTCGCTAGAGACTCTGCCGAAAAGCGACCGGTCGCTCAAGTCGTGCTGTGTTGGTTTTCCTACGTGTTTTCAACCACTTTTTCGGGGGCTATCGCTTTCCACAAGATTGTAGGGGGTTAATGGGTCACTTCTGAGTTAAAAGAAGGTTGACTACCTGCTGGATAGTTGGGAGAGCACTAATTGCCAATTGGTTTACTTGCTTCAAAGAATTCACTCTCCATTTTCTGGTTTAAGTGGGAGGTGGCTGAGTGGGATTTTGTTACCTACTTGATCTGACCTTTAGTCTAAGTGGGTGACTAAAGAAGGAACGTGGAAGACAAGATGATGCCTTATCTTATGTCCATTGGTCTGTGTAGGTAATGGGGAATGAAGCAAGATATCGTAAGATGAGAAAGCAGGTTGAATATATGTAGTGGCAGAAGCTGGAAACTTGTGAGTTTTCAGTGTGTTCAGAAAAACCAAGGGGAGAGCAAGAGTGTTCTCTAAGTGTATCAAGGTGTTGAGCAAGGGTGAGAGAGAAACAGATTGTGAGGGTAGAGTTCTAAGGGGGTTTTCTTTTGTAAACCAAAGTTGTAACCTATCTTTATTAGTGAAATTTCTCAAGGGAATCACCAAGAGGATGTAGGCAAACTGCTGAACCTCTATAAACACTTGTGTCATTTGTGTTTGGTTAATTTTCTGTGTGTGTGTGTGTGTAAGACTCATCCATCATTGAGTTCTTTGTCCAAAGTCCATCAACAACAAGATCTTTAAAGACAGTGAGTTAGTCATTAATTCACAACAGAAAAATCCTCCCCTTTATCTGCTGATGTGATACTTTGAGTTAGTAATCAACGGTGATGATCAAACCTTGAGCTCTCGGAAAAAATCTAGAAGCTGGGTATTAATTAAACCAATTAAATCTGGCTTTTTTTAGATTAAATAACCAAAAATGGTAATTAACCTTTAACCTGTGAAAATTATTTTTGCAATTGGTTTAAAATGGTTTAGGCCTCTAAACATCCTGGGCTGATTTCCAATTTTGGTAAAACAAAGCCCAAACCCTCGTCATTGATAAGGCCCAATACCCAAATGGGCTAGCGCGCAGAAATTAGGCCCAAACAATAGGTAAAGTACCGTGAGTCTTGGTGATTGATAAGCTAGATACATCTATTATATGTCATTCTTACTTGGTTTTATGTGTGGTTCTTGTAATTTTAGAGTCATTTACTTCTTTTTTGTGTTATGTAGGCCTAAACAAGCAAAGGTGGAGTTTTGATGCAAAAGTTGGTGCAAAGAGGTGGATTCCAACTTCCTCTAGGAAGATACATAAGTTTCCCAGAGCACTTCATTTTTTATTTTTGGAAATATGACTTTTTGATGGAGTTTTTGTGCAAGGCCCAATAGGAGAGTGAAGCTACGACCTTGAAGTTACTTGTTTAATTTCTCTTAAATTTTTGGGGCAGCCAATTGAAGCAGTTTTTAAAGTCAAGTCGACTCAAGGTGTGAAATTCGGACAGAATTGCATTACTGTATGAAAAAGGGGGTTCGAGGACCTTTATGATTTTGCCTACTTGCAAGCAACCTATGCTTGGAAATCGAACAATCAGAAAGCTGTGTTATCCTAGTCAAAGAAGGAAGAGAAGAAAGGCTAAGTAGTTTTCTTCAAGGAAAAGGAAAGGTGTGTTATACATAACAAGGGGATCTCTTACCATCCAATTAAGGGTTTTCTAAGCTTTTCAGGATTAGCCATTCGTAGCCTAAAGTCCTACACGGATGAGAAATAACAAAGGAGAGACTTCAAAAACTCTATAAAAAGGAACCTAAATGTTAACACCTATCACCATTCATCCAAACATCCAAGCCTCACGCACTGAAGCACCCCCCCTTCACCTACTTGACATCCAAGCAGCATCCAAGGAGAGGAATTGGCGTCCCCACCTTCATTCTAAAGGTGTTTTGTTGTTTTCATTTTTGTTATTAAGTTTCTTTTATTGTAATCATGACTATGCCTCGTTAAGCCTCTTTGGTTAAGGCTAGGATCATTCATGGATATATGATGTTTTAAGTTATTTAAATACAAGCTTATTTGGTGAATTTATAATCTCTTTATACATCGGTAGTAGTTGCTTAATTTCTATTGCTTGATCACCTTTGGGTTATGCATCTAGTTTATTTGATGTAGGCATGTAATGGGACCAATAAGTTACAAGTCTAATTTGCTCATGGTGAAATTTTTTTTTTTTTGGTCTGAAAGATGGAATTTCATAAACAGGCAAACAGCCAAGAGAAGTACAAAGCCCATAAATCAGCAATGCACAGCGTACAATAGGACATAATAAAAATGCAGCTACAGAGAAGGAGGACAACTACAGAGACGTAGTCATAAGACAAACAAATACGTCGAGAAGCCCACACAGCCGCAACCATTAAGCACTCCTTGGGGGACATGGTAAACCATCCTTGTTTAGGATATGCATTAGGGAGGATGGGGGTCGGTTGACCCATACTTCCGGGCTCATCCTCGAATTGGCAAGCATTGCCAAATGATCTGCCGCCTGGTTAGCGGTTCTAGGAATCCACGTCCAAACGTAGGTCTGGAAGCAGTTCAAAACATCCCGAACATTACTTAGGATAGGATAGATTCCCCACTTTCCTTTGGATAAGGAGCCCTTCAAAGGAGAGATTACTTCCTTGCAATCAGATTCAAAAGAGACTTGACGATAACCCATTTCAGCAGTGAGTTTGCAACCTTCAAGACAAGCTAGTGCCTCAACCTCTATAGCAGAGTTCGCCACTGATGGGATGGATGTACCCTTGATAAAATCTCCATGGGTGTTCCTAATCAGGATTCCAATGCCAACCCTTTTTGAGTTTTGATTCCAGGATGCATCCACGTTAACCTTGACAAAAGGAGAAGCAGGGGGGTTCCACAAATGTTGCTGGTTGTCATTAGAGAGGGTGGGAGGCTCAGTTTGATGTCTGCCATGATCAAGGGAGCCAAGGAATTCATTGATGGCAATAGAGGCAGCATGAATAGTTCTAGCTGGTGAAAGGGAGAAATGTTCCAGCACCGCTTTGCACCGATCCTTCCAAATTTGCCAGGAGAGGTATGCGATAATAGTTAGGCATCGTGATCGCTCCTGTAGGGTCTTCCCTTTCTGAATAACATTCCATAACCACTGGCCAAAAGATGTCACAGCCTGACGATTTATACGCAGGTTGAGGGAGCATCCGAACAAAACAGGTTCCACCCAAGGGCAAAGGAGAAGGATGTGTTCAGCCGTTTCCGGTAGAGGACACATAGGCGATCTGGCAATTTTCTTTTTGTGCAAGTTTGTCGATGTAGCAAGGCAGTTTCTGAGAGCACGCCACAGAAAGTTTTGAATTTTTGGTGGGACATCCGCTTTCCAAACCTGTTTCTAAAGCCTTGGATCAATCGCAATTGAAGAGGAAGGGCGCGGATTTCTTCGCCTCAAGTCAGAATTGTGGAGCCAATGGTACCCGGAGCGCACAGAATAGGATCCAAACCTTTCCATTGGCCAAATCGGTCGATCTGGCAGTCTGCTGCTACCAAACTTGATCCTTGTAATTGCACAGGCATCACTAGCAGAAATGACATGCCTAATTGGGTCCAAATTTCATTCATTGAGCTCCCTGTTAATAATAGCTTCAACTCGTAAGTTTCGATCAAGAGTTTCAGTAGAAGGCAGGCGAGGACAAGCGTTTGGAGAAGTCGGCAGCCATCGATCAACCCACAGTCTAATATGAGCCCCGTTCATAACTTGCCAATGAGCACCACGAAGCAGGATATCCCTGCCCTCGAGCAGGCTTGCCCATGCCCATGAAGCACAACCACTCTTCTTCGCTTCCAAGAAATTGACATTTGGGAAATATCTACCTTTTAGAACTTTAACCCACAGAGATTGAGGCTCCATCAAAATTCTCCAGCATTGCTTTGCCAGAAGAGCTAAGTTGAACTCGTGGAGGTTGGGAAAACCCATTCCCCCCTCTTGCTTCGGTTGCCCAAGGGTGTCCTAGTTGATCCAATGGAGCTTCCGATTGTCTCCTTTTTTGCCCCACCAGAAGCCAGCCAAAATAGAATCAATTTCTTTACAGAGGGTGGTAGGGAATTTGAAGATATTCATGGGATAAGCTGGAACAGCGAGTGCCACTGATTTTATTAAGATTTCACGGCCTGCTTGTGAAAGGCAATGTTGATTCCAGCCATGCACCTTCCGAAGAATTCGATCTTTCACATACACAAGCGCTTCTTTCTTTGCTCTGCCCCAAGAAGTGGGAAGGCCCAGGTATTTCCCTGCATCAGTAACATCAGGCATGCCTAGGATCTCACACATTGAAGCACGGACAGAGGGAGGGGTATTAGAGCTGAAAACCACATTGGACTTGGTCAAGCTCACTTGTTGTCCAGACGCAGTGCAATAAGCTTGAAGGAGGCGAGAGAGATTCTGACAATTTTGTGTGGTGGCCTTCAGGAATATGAGAGTATCATCTGCAAATAAGAGGTGGGATAGGGTAGGACCTCCAGAATTCAATTTAATACCTTGTAACAAATCTGTCTCACAAGCATTTTGTATTAGCAGTGACAAAACTTCACTAATAAAAAGAAATAAGTAAGGGGAGATTGGGTCACTCTGTCGGATACCACGGGATGGGCAGAAGGCGCCACCCGATTGGCCTTTGATCACCACAGTGAAGTTTACTGTTGTAACACAACTCATGACTAAATGAATCCAACCTGCATTAAACCCCATTTTTTGCATAACCCTCTCAAGAAAATCCCATTCCACGCGGTCATAAGCCTTATTCATATCGAGTTTCACTCCCATTTCGAAACTCTTCTTTGATTTCTTGAGTTTCAGAGCATGGAAAACTTCATGGGCTACCAGGATGTTATCCTGGATCTGTCGCTCAGGTACAAATGCATTTTGAGTTGGGGAGATAATGCTGGGTAGGTGAGGTTTAAGACGGTTGGCCAAAATTTTGGAAAGGATCTTGTAGGAGAAGTTGCATAGGCTAATTGGCCTAAATTGGGAGACGGTTTCAGGATTGGGAACTTTTGGGATAAGGACTATTTGTGTGGAGTTCAAAGGCTTTGGGATGGCTTGGCCTGTGAAAAAATCAGCAGTGAAGCCCTGAATATCATTGTGAATAATTCCCCATTATTTGTGATAGAAAGTCCCATGGAAGCCATCAGGACCCGGAGCCTTAGTGGCCCCCATCTGAAAAGCAGCATCTTTAATCTCCTCGAGTGTAATTGGTTTGGTCAGGTCTCTATTTATTTCTTCAGTTACCACTGGTTGAACACAATTCAGGATGGAATTCCAATCTCTGCTTCCACTTGAAGTAAACAGCTCTTTGAAGTATGCCTCAAAAGCCCTACGAACCCCCTTCTGCGATTGCTCCCAATAGCCATTGTCCCCTTTTATCCTTGTGATCTTGTTTTGTCTCCTTCTTTGGATAGTCGCCTGGTGAAAGTAGGAGGTATTGGAGTCTCCATTCTGCAGCCATTTGATTCTGGAACGCTGCTGCCAGTAACACTCCTCTTTTCTCCATAGGTCAGCCAACTTGGTCTTTATACGAGAGATATTCTCGTTGTTTTCCTCCCAGCTGTGTTTAGGCCTGGGCACGGTCCGGTTTGGACCGGTTCTCAGGCAAAATTGGGACCGAAATCGGTACTGTTCACCGGTCCGGTCCGGTTCGGATTTTAACAAAAATACCAGACAAAACCGGACCAACCCGATCCAGTTTTGATCCGGTTCGGTTCCGGTTTTTACGGTTTGGGCCGATTCTTCAACTTAATTGATTTTTTTTTTGTTCTTACATTTTTTTAAAGCTTCAGCCCAATTGATATTTAAAACCTTTTGGGCCTAATTATTACCGATTGGCCCAATTCACATTCACACTGCAAATTGAATGAATCCATCAAGCATTAATACAATTTTTTGACAAAACAACAAATAGCAAGCATTAATATAAAACTTAAAACCTAAAAACAAAACAAAATAAAGCAAATTTAATTACAAACAAATTACAGAAATAGAACACATTCAATTTTCTGCAACATCTTCAGTCTTTCTTTTTATCCATGCTACTTCAGTACCTGTTTCAAAGAGCAACAAATTGTCAATTGTTGTAATGTTATTTTCTTTTTCTGAAAAATAATGAATGAGCTTCTCTCCCATCTAAAGTTTACAACAACGTTCAAAGATTTGCATGCCACTGAGGAATGATATCAGGAATAAAGAACAGGTATGTCAAAACACAACAGGAAAAAATCGAAAGAAGAAAAAGAAGAGAATCAGACCTCAGTAACATCATCAGCCCCAAATCATAGAAAATATCAATACCATATCAGAAGAAACAAATGAAACCAAAAGTGAAATAAACGCACCAAAATGGATAGTTGACCAAAAAAAAATACAGATCTGCACAAGGGATTGGAGAGATAAGAGACGCTGACCTGCTTTGGACTGGGACTTAACCCAGATCTCCAAGAACTTCACCCAGATCTACAAGATGAACACATATATGTACAGAGAAACAAAAAATGAAGAGAAAAAAAAGAAGAGAGAAATACAAAAACAGAGTTGCAAAGAAAAGAGATATAGAGGGAGAGAGAGAAACATAAAACCAAGAAGAAAAAAAATCAGAGTAATAGAAAATCAGAGAAAGAGAGGAAGAAAAAAAGAAAATAAAGACGAAATGAGAGGAGAAAGAATAAGAGAGAAGAAAGAAATAATAAGAGGGAAAGAAGAAAAAAGAACTGAGAGGAAAAGAAGCAGAAGAGAGAAGAAAGAAAGAAGAAAAAATAAGTTGAGGAACCGAGAGGAAAAGAAGCAGAAGAGAAAACAAAGAAAGAAAAAGTAAGTTGAGGAAATCTGAGAGGAAAAGAGAGAGAGGGCGTGAGAGAAAGAGAGTGATGTGAGATTTGATAGGATTAGGATATTAAAATATGGCTTGTTGGACTTAGGCAATGGGCTGTGTTGCATGAAGTTTAGTTGGTCCATCAGACAGTCAATTTCGATCTTGCTATTCTTGAATTTCCTTTTACTCCATTCTGTAAGAAGGTTTCGACATGTATGCAGATTCTTGTTGTGTAGATACAGCTGCACCAAAATGGATTCAGTTGCATCTTCAACTTGTGATACTCGCAAGTGCACGAGCCGTTCGGTAGTATAGCGTATGTAAGTGCGAGGTCGATCCCACGAGGATTGGTAATTGAATGATCCAATTTAGTTTCCCTACACAAAATAGAAACAAAAACAAAGAACATAAAACAAGGAAGAAAGAAATAAGTAACTCAAGCA